GAGTGAAACCTGGCATAAAAAAACCAAAAAAAAAAAAAAATTCAAATGCATGTACTAGAATCCAAGCCCATTCCATGGAAGGTCCAGTTGGTGAGGTGCCCCCACTCCAGCCAGCCCAGAGAGAGCTGAGCCGCGGGCTGGGATCTCACTTTCTGTCCTGGCAGGAGCTGAACCGGACTTGCCGTGCCATGCAGCAGCGGGTCCTGGAGCTCATCCCACACATCTCCAACGAACAGCTAACAGAGGAGCTGCTCATGGTCAACGACAACCTTAACAACGTGTTTCTGCGCCACGAGCGGTGAGCCCCATACACCCTAACCTCCTCCTTCCTCCCTCGGACCCAGGCAGGCTGCCAGGGCTGTGCACCCTCGACCCTCACCCAGAGGGGCCCATGGCACCTGCTCCTCCCCTCAGGAGTGAAGGAGGGGCGCAGGTGTGCACGAGCCTCCGCCAGGCAGGGACGCGCATGTGCCATGAGACCTGCCACTCGGGACGCGTGGCACAGCCTGCCCCTGACGGAGTCTCTGCCTCACAGGTTTGAACGGTTCCGGACAGGCCAGACCGCCAAGGTAAAGGTGTGTAGTACGAAGGCTAGAGGGCAGGAGTCTTCTGACTTCGGGCACCCCAGGGTCCTGCCCCTGGGGCAGCTGAGCTCTGAGTGGAGGGAGAGAGGCTGCCGGCTGGCACATGGGCGGGGTTGCGGGTAGAAGGGTGACCATGTCCCTTCTCCAGACCCCCAGGGACACAGAGCCCGCCGACGACCTGATCAGCGTGGGTGCTGATGCCACAGCCACCAGCAGCCTGGAGTCCCAGCTGGCGGGGATGAGTAAGGATGGCAGCCTCCACACCTTGGGGCCCCGCCCAAGCCTTGCAGGTTGGGTGCTGCCCAGGAGCCCGTGGGCCTGAGCCCCTGCTCCTCTACAGTTGCCTAGAGACCGCACTCCGAGCACACTGTGGCCAGGCCTGGCCCAGCGTCTTGCTCTTGCTGTGGACCAGGCTGAGACCTGTGCTGGGCCCAGGGTCCTCTCCCTGCGCCCCAGCCTCCGTCTCCGCTAGCAGCGTCCCCTCTCACTGGGACTGGCTGTGACATTATCTGAACTCTAGCAGTTGATCCGGACTTGATACACTTCCTTTGGCAGTACTGGGACTTGCACTGAGTAACACCCCAGCTCTTTTATTTCGAGACAGGGCCCATTGAGTTGCTAAGTTGCCCGGGCTGAGTTTGAACTTCTGATCCTCCACCACACCCAGCTTGATACTCTGCTCCTCGACAAGTCACATCTGGTGTCTGCAGCAGATGCCACCTAGCATGTTCCCTGTCCCCTGACTCTCGGCCCGGGGGTGACTCCTCACCCCTTAGGCGGCTCCTGCACTGGCCTGGTGTGGGGACACGGGTGCAATGGGTGGTCTCACTGGCCCTTCTGTCTCCGCAGGCCTGGGCTCCAGCAGCGTGCGGGATGGGCTGCAGTCCCTGGAGCCCTCAGGGCACCCGGAAGATGAGTTTGACATGTTTGCACTGACACGGGGCAGCTCACTGGCCGACCAGCGGAAAGAGTGAGTGGCCCAGCCTGCCCAGTCGCCTGCGGGTGGAGTGCTAATCCCACGGGAGTCTGTCAGGGTCCCTGTGCCTGGCTGTGTGGCCACAGCAGGAAGAAAGGCACATGGCCTCAGAGCCCTGCCGTCAGGACAGACCATGCCCCCAGACACGCAGGGCAGGCAGAAGGTACTTGAGGACCAGAGCCTGGTCACTGCCCCCAGGCAAGCAGCTGGCATCTGGCAGCACAGTGTCTCGAGTGTCATCATCACCACCATCCTGTCCAGCCTTCACCCAGCCCCCAGAGCCAGGGACAGTGCCCAGGAAATCCTGGTGCTTGCTCTGGTGTGCCTTCTGCCCTGCAGCTGGGAAGCTGGGACCGCCCTTTGCACGAACAGGCTTCCAGTGCCAAGGCAGAGCTTCCACATGCGTGGCCAGGGGACCCCTATGATGATCCAGGGCTGCTTCTATGGCAAGGGACACTGCAGAATAGATGGAGGGTCCTCCTCCCACTCCTGTGTGCCCCCTCGGTGTCACTCCGGTCATTCAGGGACACTGGGTTCCTGCCTGCAGCTGCAAACTCAGGTGCAGCCTCACATGTGCAGGTCCTGGGCCCAGTGTGAGCTGCGCTCCTCTCCCCCGCACACTGCACACCAAGGCTAAGGAGTCCTCAGGGCTGGCCTGTCCCTGTCCCGGGCCCTGTGGCAGCACTGCTTGTACACAGTTCGAGCAGGGGGGTGGCGGGCGCTGGCTGCATGTCCCCCATTGAACAGTGTGCTGGACGAGGCACGGGCCTTGGACACCACATCGGGTCAGGAAGTGCAGGGAGAGGCACCCTGGCCCGCACAGGTGCCTGCACAGGGTGGGAAGGCAGCTGGTACCCTGAAGCGGCAGGAGGGGGTGAGGGAAGGGTTTCCTCCATCTTGGAAACTCCTTGGCCTGGCTGCCCGCCCTCGACACTGTCCCACCCCTCCTGCCAGGCGCTCCTCCCCATCCAGCCCGCTGGATCCAGGCAGCACTTTCCAGTGTGGGCTCCTGCGGTGCCATGGCCTGGCCCAGGGACTGTGTGCAGGGGGGGACAGTGAATCCAGAGGTGCAGGTTCTTCAGTCCGGGAGCGAAGGTTCTGAGTAGGTCTAGCTGGAGCCGCATTTGCCGTGTGCCCGGGACAGCTGCACCACACAGGGCGTTCAGACCTCCGGGACAAGGCGTGCTGTCAGGCGGCCTCCCTTCTCCACCAGCTCTCAGTGTGCAGGGGGCCCAGCATGGTCCTGCCGCAGTCAGCAGCCCACTCACCTCGCTGGGAGCCAGGGACAGGGATGAGCCAGCCATCGTGTTCATGGGAGGGGGTGACAGCCATGCTCCTGCCTGGGGGAGTGGGGTGTCCTCAGGGAGCTTGGGGACAGCCTGCTGCACCCACACGAGGTCGAGGTACCCCTTGACCATGCCGGGCTTCCCCTCCTCCACACCTCCCTGTAGCCATTGAGAGCCAGAACAGGACTCTTCTAGCATTGGGCCAAGGTTCTCGCTCCTCACTCCTGGATGCCCTTCTGCGGCCCTGTCTGGGCCTCCACCAGCGCACACCTCCCTCCCTGAGGACAGCCACGGGAGGGGCAGCCCAGTTCCGGGTGCCCGCAGTAGAGGCACTGACCTTCGGCGGCGGAACGGAGTCCCTCCCCCAGGTGCACTGCAGCAGAGCCCCGGTTGTGACGTCTCACAGTGGGGTAGTGCAGAAAGGGTCTCCGGAGACGCCTGCACAAGGATAGGGTGTGGAGCCCTGTCTGAGCTCCTCTGCTTGCCCAGCTCTGTATAGTCTCAGCGACCGGCCGCCTGTATCTGGTTCCAGCCAGGCCCTCCCTAAAGGCTCACAGCCTCTGCTGGTGCCTGTCCTGACACAGAGGCCACAGCTGGCCCTTCCTTCCATGTCAGGCAGGCCTGGCTCCATCCTCGCATCCCCTAGCAGGCCTGCAGTGTCGGGGCAGCCCCTGATGGCCTCTGCGGCCTGTGTTTCAGGGTCAAGTATGAAGCTCCCCAGACAACGGACGGCCTTGCTGGGGCCCTGGACGCCCGGCAGCAGAGCACTGGAGCAGTAAGCAGAGTCCCCACTCCCCCTGGGGCCCCAAAGGCAGGCAGGGCTTGAGTCAGACCTGGGATCCACCATTTAGCAGAGTACCCCAGGCTCGGCTCTGCAGCACGCCGCTCACTCTCCCCTGAGCTGCGCTGGGGCAGCACAGAGGAAGGCACTGCCCAAGGCGCACAGCATTCAGGCACGGGCCAGCTCTCCTGCTCCCATGCCTGCCTGCGAGCATTCTCATACAGCTCCACACACACACCTGCTGGGACGCTTCCTGCCTGGTGCTGGGAAGCAGCCCCTGCCCTGCCCAGCCCGGGACCACCTGGGCTCCTCAGGATGGAGAGGGACCCGCTCTATCTTCGAGACGGCGGCAGGTGCCCCCCACAGCTGGCTCTTGCCTACACCACCATGCACTGGGTGCCACTCTAGAAGCTGTCAGGGAAGGAGGCCCAGCCCTGCCCCTGGGAGGCAGTGATCATGGCAGAGTCCAAGCTCTGGAGAGCGCTGCCTGCTGAGACCACCGCCTGGCCTTCCGGGCCACCCACCGCTGCCCTCTAGGACCCTTGTACCTGCTGTCATGCAGTGAGCTTGGGGGGGTGCAGGACCTGGTGGCCTCTGGCCTTGGCACCAGCCCATTCCCTGATTGCAGCCCCTCGGCTCCATGGTGACCACAGGCCCTACCCAGGCAGTGAGGACCCCGTCCTTTCTCTGCGTGCGCCTCTGTGCACCCTCACGCACAGACTGGGCCCTGATCTCTCACCTCACCCTGCACTCCCCTCCAGATCCCCGCCACCCAGGCCTGCCTCATGGAGGACATTGAGCAGTGGCTGTCCACGGACGTGGTGAGTCGGGCACACCCCTGGCCCACCTGGAGACAGTCGCTGTGAGGCCAGGCTGGCGTGAGACGGGCAGTGCTGGGTCCCCTTTTCTGGCCCTCACCCAGCCTAGCTAGGGCACAGCACACTGCATGTGAGGTGCCCGCCGTTCTCGGGCACACCACAGTCGCCCGTGTCGCAGATCAAAAGCCAGGTGGCTGCATGGGGCTCTCTTCTTCCCTCGGGGAGGAGGCAGCAGGTGGCCCCCAGACCCCGCCCAGCCCCACTCCAGCTCTGGCACCACAGCTTGCTTCCTGGGCCATGCTGGGATCGGGGGTACACTGGGGCCCGCACCCAGCACCCTACCGAGTGAACTTTGTCTCCCACATGGTAACGAAAGGACCAGCCAAGGCATGGGGAGATCAAGGGACATGCAGCTCTGAGGGGGCCGAGTTTGGGCCAGCCGGGGTCAGCCCCACAGCCCAGTAGCCCAGTCTGTGACCCTGCCCTTCTGTGTCCTAGGGGAATGGCGCAGAGGAGCCCACGGGCGTCACCAGTGAAGGTAGTCACCCAGCCTGCCTGCCCACCCCGTTCCCGGGCCCAGCCCTGGCCTCCACCCACTGCCCTTTCCCCCAGCAGAGTTCGACAAGTTTCTGGAAGAACGGGCCAGAGCCGCCGACCGGCTGCCCAGCCTCACCAGCCCCTCGGCCACCAGGCCCCCCGGCCCCGCTGCAGGCGTGGTGCCGCACAAGAAGGCACAGGGGAAGGAGGAGGACACGCTGTTTGCCCTGTGAGCCGGCCAGGCTGCTCTGGGAGACTCCTCACCCTGACCTCAGTGCTGCTCCCCTCGGCCCCTGCCGCTCCTGCCTCCCCACCCCAAGCCGAGGGTGCCGGCACTGCCCTTCCCTGGTGCCAGCATAGGGCTGTGAGGGGCCGGCGCCCAGGTAGGAAGCTGCACGTGGAGCTCCCGCCGGAGGACAAGGCTTCGGGGACGCTCCTGCCACCGCCTCACCCCTCGTCCTAGGGACTCCTCCCTCTGGGCACCTGCTCCCCAAATAAAGACGGAAAGCTATCCGCCAGGCAGTTTGGGTACCGGCTGCACATTGCAGGACAAGGGAAGCCAGCGCCCCTGTGGGCAGTGCGCTCCTGGATCCTGGTGCTGTTGTCCCGTCTCTGGATGAGGACAGTGCCCTCCCGCAGCACGAGGCGAGCCGTACGGCCCCTGAGCCCCTGAGGTACCTCCTGGGAGAGGGGAGTCAGCGCTCAGCCTACGGAGGGCAGGTGGTGCCCCACCCTCCTCCAGCCTGATTCCACTCCGGCCCTCGATGGAGAAACTGAGTCTCAGGAGGCGGGGGCCAGGCTGGCCATGCCCTGCGCCCTTAGTTCCCAGAGACCGGGGCGGCGCGGGGAATTCAGCAGAGGCCTGGAGCCCCCGGTTGTCATGACGATGATGGCGCCCGCACTATGTTTCCAGGCTGGTTACCCGGCCTCCCTGTACCTCGGTTTCCCCGCGTGTGAGGGAAGCTGCTCCGGCCCCGCCCTCCAGGGTCCTTAGCTAGGAGTTGGGTCAATGCACCGGGAGACCACCAGGTGGCACCAGCGCCACCGCGCAGAGGTTGAGGCCGTCGCCAAGCCCAGCCCTGTTCCCTCGGCGCTCCGCCCTTCTGCTGTGGGCCCCTCCCGACTCCCGGGCTTGGGACATGGAGTTGGGGGTTCTGTGAGACCCAGCACCCTGATGCTCCTCAGGAGGGCGCTCTCTTCCAGTAGACATAACTTGGATATCACCCATCCCCCCCACCACTGCTTCTCCTCCTCCCTTGCCCCTCAGAGTCTAAGTTCCCCAGGTTGGGCTCACACCTGTGACCCTCCTGCCTCAGCCTTCCAGAGTGCTGGCTTGCTGCTCCTCTTCCCGTGCCCTCCTCCACACTCCCACTGTCTTTCCTTACTGAGGTCCCACTCAGTCCTCGGGGTCACTGGTCTGTTCTCCCCGAGTCCTGCTGTGGACCCCCTGCTCCAACACTCACACTGGGACAGGAAGTGAGGTCCACACCCTGCCATCCACATGATCATGCAGGGCCCGAAGGCCTGGGAGACGATGTGTCCTCCTGGCACTGGTGGCCAGCATCTCCTGTGACCTCAGTTCACCTCTAGTGCCTCAAGAGCTCCGCCCTCCAAGGTCCTGGATGTTGCTGTGATGTGGCTCTGGGGACAGAGCAGCAGTCAGGTTCACACTCTGCCAGGGGATTGTGGGCAAGGATGATGTCATGTCTTGGGGTGACCTGCCCCAAGCCCGGGCACCCACAGAATGTGTGCCAGGAGCCCTCAACCTGCTGGGAGGCACCAAGGTGCCGGGGCGCCGGCTGGGATGGCGCACTGCAGTCTGGGCCAAGCCTTTCCTGTCCCTCCGTTTCCCTGACTATTCAGCAAGAAGCCCGAGTCTCAGTTCTCGGCACCTCTGACTGCAGTCCTGGCCCTTTGACCCTGGAGCCCTAACCCCCCCAGAAGAGAACGAAACGCAGGAGGAAACCCTGCCAGATGAGGACAGGGGTGAGGGGACCCACGGCGGGAGCAAGTGCTGTCACCTGACACCAGCTCCTCCACCCAGGGGAAGCCCAAGGCGCAGAGCCCAGGGCCAGGGGAGGGTCGCACCTGAGCAGCTGCCACACCCCTGCCCCTGCCTACTGCAGTTCTGCCGCCCGTGTCGGAGGAGCTTGTGGTGCCCCTCCCGGGGGCAGAGCCTGCCCAGGGTGCAGACAACCGGAGTCCAGCCCAGCCCCACCTGTGCCCCAGCCCACCGTGCCTCACACGGTGCTGGCCAGTGCTTTCTGGCACTTGGGGGGCATTGTGCCCGTGGGTGTCACAGCCTGTCCCAGCAGACCCCGGGCAGCTCGCCAAGCGGAGGTCAGAGTAGAGGAAGAGGCTGGGCCAAGAGGCCGGGTCTGCCTTGTGCTCCCTCCTGGCAAGCAAGTCCTGGACCTCTAGGCCTGTTTCCCCACCGATGCCGGAAGCGGGTGGGCAAGCCCGTCCCCACAGTCCAGGGCACACCGTGCCTGGCTGCCTGGGAGCTGTGCAGTTCCCATGCCCGCCCTCCCGCCCAGCACCAGGGCAGGGCCAGGCACCTCTGCGGGTCACTAGGCACAGGGTTATGGAGTAGCTGAGGAAAGCCAGGTACAGCCCTGAGCATGCAACACACACACCTTTTCATTCAGGTATGCACGGCCAGGGCTCTGAGCTGCACCCTGGCCCTTGCAGCCTGTAATGAGTGGGTACAGCCCACGCCCTTCAGTACAATGACCAGAGTGCCAAGTGCACACCTGGCAACAAGTGGCGAGCAGCTGCGTTCACTGAGGATGACGGCAGCTGTGCTCAGGGCAAGTTCATCCCATCAAAACATAGGGCACAAGCCGGGCGTGGTGGCGCACGCCTGTAATCCCAGCACTCTGGAGGCTGAGGCAGGAGGATCTCTGGGAGTTTGAGACCAGCCTGGGCTACGTAGTGAGTTCCAGGTCAGACTCAACTACATGGTGAGACCCTGTCTCAAAAAACAAAACAAAAAGAAAATGTAGGGCACAGACAGAGAAGTGGGGCCAGGCCTGGGCATAGTGGTGCACTCCTGTAATCCCAGTACTCAGGAGGCCGAGACAGGAAGACTCCACGAGTTCAAGGCCACAGAGAGACCCTGTGTCAAACAAAAAGTGGTGCCGGGGTGACAAAAGCAAAACACTGCACAGAGGTCACAGTGTACAGAAGCAGGAGCCACACCCCCAAAACTCAGGCTTTCAGAATTTAAAGGACTTGCACCTCAGCCCAGGGCCTGCTTCTGAGTCTCTAGAAGTGATTCACAGGAATGACTGACAGGGTGCTGAGTCATCCGGGGCTGGTCCCAGAATTCACTCTGCTCTGGATTGCGTGCATGCCTGCGTGTAGTACACGGTCCCTTGATGAGGCGGGAGTAGGATGCAGGTGACTGCAGTCAGGCGAGGAGAACCAAGCCACCTGAGCCGTGGAGGCCTGAGTCCTTGTGACTCTCCTCCTCTCCTAGGACAGCGAGGGAGGCGGTGACTTCCTCGGCTGTGGGGTTTCTGACTGAAGCAGCCCCAGCCGGCCCTGTCACCCTCCTCACAGACAGGACACTGAGGCCCACATCCCCATGCCACACCCTCATCCCGGGGGCCTCCTGCCGGTCTGGGTTGGTTCTGCCCTGGCTGGTGGGAATGGAGCAGCGCCTTCTGTGTTGGGTCCCACATCCCGAGTTTCCCACCCTGGTCTTCAGCCACCACCCAGGCCAGCGCCAGTGCCGGCCCTGAATGCATCTCAGATGCCGCCAGCTTGCGGACCCTGTTTGCCCATCTCCCTGATGGGGACATCACCGTGCCTGAAAGTGCCACACGCAGTGACGGCAAGGCCTGCTGCAACCCGAAGCCCACTGGTGTCTCACAAAGCACCCACAATGGATTAACCCCAATACCGGGGCTCTACTTCAGAAAAGCAAGTCTGCTTTAGCATCTTTTGTCTTTAAAGCACGACACCATGCCATAGGTTCGTCTCCACTGACACAGCACCCAAGGGGACCGATGACTCCCCACCTCGTGGGGGACACCAAGGCCAGCAGCCAGGAGCTCAGCAGCAGAAGGCGCAGGGGTGCAGGGACAGGGTCTGAGCCGCAGCTCACTCCCCAGGGTGCGGGATGCACAGCAGGAGCAAATGGAGAGCCAGGCAGGAGGCCGACGCAAGAGGGCAGCAGTAACCTCCAGGCTGGCAGGCTACACAGCAAGACTGCCTCAAACACGGAAGAAAAGCAAGCAAACCAGGAGAAAAGCAACCCGCACAGCAGGGGCAGGTACCGGGGCACCTTCACCTTCTCTGCCTTGGGGCGTCTGCCTCAGGGACCTCCTAACCCAAAGGAGAGGGTAGAGGGGGACATGCTGGGCCACTGCTCGGGCCTCTCCACAGCCCTCACGTGGCGTCCTGTCCTGTGTCCTCTTGGCCCTGTCCAGGCCCAGGTCCTAGAGTCCTTATCAGAATGCCAGTCCCGGGGAGCGTGTGGGAATTAGTTTCTGGGAATTGAAACCAGGGCCTTTGAACTGAGCTACATTTTCATCGCCTTTTCAATTTTCGAGAGTCTTGCTAAGTCACTAAGTTGTCCAGGCTGAGCTGGAACTTGCCATCGTCCTGCCTCAGCCTCCCAGAACGCTGGGATGACAGACATGCTTACCACACGCATCGGCTTTAGTACAACCTCCTAGTAGCCTGAGGCCCTGGAGATCCTGTCTCAGAATGGGGCTGCGAGGGGCACAGTTCTGACTGTGGGAGACAGGGCTCCCTACCCATGCCCCAGCTACAGGACTTTGACGGGGCAGAGCTGCCTGGCCCACACAGGTTGCACTGATACATGGGACACTCCCTGGCACTGTCTCTCTCAAGACCCTGTCCTCCTTAATTAAATGTGAAGGCTGGGGATTTAGCTGAGTGTGGTGCTGCTGCCTGCCTTGCAAGGTCAAGGTAAAAAAAAAGTTAGGGGCTTGAGGTGCACCTCGAGTCCCTACGACTGATCCCCAGGGTCAAAAAAATCAACACAGCCAAGCGTGGTACATATCTGTAACCCAGGACTCAGGAGGCTGAGGCAGGAGGATCACCAAGAGTTTCAGGCCACCCTGGGCTACATAGTTTCAGAAATAAAAATAAAATTAAACTACATTTCGAGATTGCAGTAGGTATTACAGGGATAGAGAACCGTAGGCAGGGAGAGATGAGGGACCCCCCCCCAAGGAGTTCACACAGCTAGCAGAACAGGCTTAACCACCCGTGAAAAGCTGGCAGTCTGCAGTTGCGCCTCCTCTTCACGCTGTACCTACAAAGCTTAGTTGGCTAAGATCAAAAGGAAAAGAACCTTGACCCTGAGGTGTAAAAGGGCCCCCAGAAGACCCTTCCCTGGTGACTAGCCAAGTCAATCATTAATGAGCTAAGTCAATCATTAACCAATCAAGTAGGAGCACCCTCAGCCCAGAGAAAGGATTAGGCGCCCAAATACTATAAAACCAGCATCTTGAGCCCCCTTCAGCAGTGACTCCGTTTTG